GGCAATATAATAAAACTTCCTATGTCAAAAAAATGCACCACTCATCAATAGACATGAAGAGCTTACAAATATATTACACTAATTTGTATAACATAGATATATGGCATAAAGTCAACAACTGAAAAGGTAAAAATAAAAAAGTTTAAAATACTGAAAACTGGCAAGGAATAGTTGAAGGAAAAAGGATGATATAGGTGAAATCACACACAAAAAAATAGGGAATATCTGGCTTAGTAGCAAGTCACACAAGACCAATATAAAACAAAAATGAAACTAAAGGGTTTTTTTTTGACTGCAAGATTAATAAGAGGAAACATTAAAAAAAAACAAACAACTTTCAGTCTTATATGCCTTAAAAGAAGTATCAACTACAAGTAATTGGTGATGTCTCAACTGGACAGGTTATAGACAGCATGATGTCATATCATGGCAACAGATTTTTTGAAAAAAAAAAATCACTGGCAAGATAGAAACCAATCATTCAGTTGCTCCTGAAAGTTCCTAACAGAAATTAAGGATGTTGAATTCAGAAATGAGAACACTACAGGGCAACGATGCATTTGTCTTTAAATTTTGGAAGAATTTCAGAGAATAACAAGAGAAGCATTCAGTGTAGCTTCAGAAATCACAATATTTAAGTGAACAGTGGAACTCTCTGATCCCTGATGACCTCCAAATATGGAATATTGGGTAGAGGCTCTGGCGATCAGGGGGTGGAAGTTCTAGAGAAACAAACTTTTGCTGAATCTAAAGAAAAACTTTCTAACAAGGAGTCTTGTCCAAAATAACTTTGTGATCGTCTCAAGAGCGTTCGACAAGTGAAGAAATCACACTTAGTGTTTGTTCCTCATATAGTCCTCATGGGATGGCCCTGGAGCTTAACCTTGTTATGAAATTATAATTGACTCATTTTTCAACCCTCTCTCAGAGGGACTATTTGCTCCAAAATTCTGAAAAGTTTTGTGCTGCAATTCTCTGAAATAGTTTCATGAGATCAGAAAACATTAAAACAACCATGAATTCTGGTGGTCGCTATATTTGAGGGTCATCAGGGATCAGGGGGTCCTGTTGTTCACTTAAATTGCCATTTTCTCCCATCTTCAATCTAAGACATTGAAACGTGTCAGCATAGAGGCGAGAAATTTTCACACAGTTTAATTTCATAGATTCATTGGCATTCAATTTTGGTAAAGAAATATCACAGTTCTCTGGGAAAACTAAGGAAATTCCTAGTTCATCATCTTCACCCTGTGTTCAAGAAGACAACTACAATGGATTTTCAAACAAAATTATATGCAAGAAAGAGCAAACTTTAATAATAGGTAATGGCAAATTAATTATGGACCTAGGCAAAGTCACTAAGAATATGGCCATGCCATGCTTATGAGGGTTGCTATCTCATTGGGGATTAAATATTTAAAATGATTAACTTTCATTGTCATGATAGTTTGTATTTGTTATGATAGATTTTATTTTCATGATAGTTTGTATTTTTCAAATATATCTTTTTAATAGAATGAAATAAAAAGAAGTTTCATGTGAAAAAGTTTACAAGACAGAAAAGAAATATACAGGTAAGAATAATTATAAAACAATCATATCTATTTTAGTCATAAAATAAGACAGCCAGACATTTTCAGTATGCTTAAAATCTGTTTTTTTGTTGAGTTTTGAAATGTACTATGCCATGAATTAAAGATATCAAGGTAAGAATAAACCTAATAATTCATATTTCATTGTTGAAGGAAGAGCATGGTTAAATCAGACTGGAAGAATGATAACTGATGTTTAAAATATCGTCCTAGAGATGTGTATTCTCTTATCTCAGTCTCTTTTGTTTGACTGATTAGAAAATCTCACAATTATAAAAATCCGGTATTATCTCTATTTCAATTATCTTATACCTAACTTGGCTTTTTATTTAAAATTCTTTATTAATAAAGATAAACCCTTTCATAGTCTATATTCTGTAATTTTGCATGAAAGCAATAAACAATATTACTGTACCATATTCTATCATATTTCTGAACCAAAAATCATGACATAATATGACCAGAATATGTTGTGGACTATTTTAAGACAGGATTGCTCTCAAAAGTCTACCTATACTAAAGTTGCTGTGCTCATAGCATTTCATAGCTAAAAGTTTTATCACCTTTAGCATTTTACAAAATGTGTCCTTTAAAAAGCTAACAGTGAGTGTAATTATTTATTACTGGCCATTTAGTAATGAATTAAAAGTAGTTATTATATTGTAATAAACATTTCATATCATATATCATATCATGCCATAAATTAGTATTAGATTTAATTATTTTTTTTCTTCATTTTTAGTGCCAAACACAATACTTGGCACAAAATAGATACTTTAAGATAGTGACTAAATACACTAATAGATGATCAGACAGATGAAAATGGTTTATCCTTGAAAAGTTAATATGCTGCTTTCGTTGACATAGGGTCAAAAAAGTAGTATTTGATAGTGTCAAAATTGAAGATTTTTTTTAATTCTCCTTCTCTTCCCTTTCTCCTGTCTCCTCTCCCTTCTTCTTCTCTTTGTAAATGAGATGAAACCACAAGACCTATTAAGCTTGTTACTTTTTTTTAACAACTTTGTTCAGATACCATTGACACTTAAAAATTGTATACACTTAAGATATAAAACTTGATGTTTTGATATATGGATACATTGTGAAATGATCACCATCAAACTAATTAGTCACAAGTTTGTGACTTATTGCAGAAGGAAGAGGTACATGTGAAATGATTTTAGCATGCCATGAAAGTCCTTCCTATTCTCTGTAACAGAGCTCCTTTTCCCATTACAAACCAACAAATGGTGGCTGATGCTTGAAACCCTTCTCTTCAGCTTTATGCCTAAAAAGCTTCACTCTATTAGGTCTAGAATAAAATCGAATCATTCTCGTGTATGTTAACCTGTAAGCCTAATTCATCTTCCCCAATAAAACCAAATGACTCTACAATTATTTGAATGGATTTCAAATATGTGGTGTAGCAGTTGGGGTGACGATGGTGGAGACTGAGAATAGTAATATTCTGTTCAATAAGTTTATTTTAATTAATTAACTATTAATTAATTGATTTTTGAGTTGGAGTCGTTTTTTGTTGTTGGTTTTTTTTTTTTTTTTTTGAGTTGGAGTCTCACTCTGTCACCCAGACTGGAGTGCAGTGGCTGCTCCCGGCCACTGCAGCCTCGACCTGCTGGGCTCCGGCGATCCTTCCGGCTCAGCCTTCCATGTAGCTGAAACTACAGGCATGCGCTACCACACCCGGCTAATTTTTTGATTTATTGTAGAGATGAGGTCTCGCCAAGTTGCCCAGGCGGTCCCCGAACCCGCGGGCTCAGGCAATCCACTCACCTCAGCCTCCCAAAGAGCTGGGATTACAGGCTGAGCCACCAAGCCTGGCTGAGTTGGAGTCTTAATCTGTTGTCCATGCTGGAGTGCCGTGGCACTATCACAGCCACCTCAGCCTTGACTTACTGGGCTTAGGTGATCCTTCTGCCTCAGTCTTTCAATACAGGCGTGTGCTACCACGCCCAGTTAATTTTTTGATTTATTGTAGAGAAGTGGTCTCACCAAGTTGCCCAGGTTGGTCTCAAACCCCTGGGCTCAGGCAATCCCCTTGCCTCCGCCTCCCCAAGTGCTGGATTATAGGCGTGAACCACTGCGACTGGCTGATTTGAATTTATATACGTTAATTTCAAGTCCTTTTAAAAAGGGAGTTGTTGAGATAGGTAACAAATGAAAGATGCAAAGAAGATCACAAAGGCTTTGGGATCTGAGGGATTGTTTTAAAACACAGGAAAAAGAGAAAGTACAACTTCTTACAACTGAAAGAGGATGAAGAATCAGAGAGGAATATTGCATACTGTACAGTTTTGATTGCTAGTGCATTACCACTTATTTAAATGTTGGAAAAAACTTTTTTGAATCACATGCTGGTTTTTATTATCCATGTCACTCACCGGAAGGATGAATGACACTTGGTTTAAATACCACCAGAGAAGAAAAGATATGGTAGAGTCATCCTTAATTGTTAGACAATTTAATTGACGAGTGTGTTTTTCATATAAAAAATTAAGAAAAAAATTTCAAGTTAACCAAAGTTGCTTACTTAAATACAAGTAGGTTAATTTAGATGCTTTTAGAAAATTAATGCTATTTATTCTTATAGTTACTGAGTTCTTACCACTAGGTTACGAGTTCAATAAATTTTGCTCTCTAATCGACTATATTCTTTTATGCAGTCAACATCATTTATTATTTCCTTACTTGAAACCTTCTAATTTTTTTCTTGCATTCAGAGATGTTTGGAATAACATATATTTTTTGACAGATTTATGTAGCAAAAAGGAGGATGATTAAACTTTATAGAATAAAAAATATAAAGACATTCCCAAGATTTTACTTTTGCACCTAAATAAAATTAGACTTATTTCAGAAGCTGAAGATTGGGTACGTTTTAAAAGATCTCTGAGTAAGACAATGAACTGTTCTGGAAAGTTCATGTTACCTTAAAATATCCTTTTAGCTGTATCTTATTTATTTATCTATATCTATCTATCTATTTATTTACTGCCATGATACAAAGTCTTATTAAAGGGAAAATGGATATTTAATGAAATGGATATTTAATGATAAATTAAAATTTAAGGAAGAGTCTTTTCCTTGGGTAAGAAACTTAGACAATAATTTAAAATTACCATCTCAATCATGAATTACATCTCATAAACCATCTCTTATGACAAGGTAGAGAGATATAAAGAAGTATCACAGTACATTGCATTGAAATCAACACTAACTTGGATACAAAATACTTTAACCATGAGTCCAAATTCCAGCGTTAGCCAGTTTTGTTTCCTTTGGAAAGTCTTAGTGTTGTTCATCTTTAGTTTGTTCATATGGGTAAACTTAATGGGATAATGGGTATTTGTCAACTATAAAGTTTTCTTTAATATTAAATATTATTTGTGATAGTAGAGAAAGAGTGGAAAGTTTATTTGCTGACTTTCTCTTATACCTTGAAGCAGATATTTGCCATGGGTGACAAGGGAGGAAACAACCACTCAGAAGTGACTGACTTCATTCTTGTAGGCATCAGGGCCCGTCCAGAGCTCCACAGTCTTCTCTTCCTACAATTCCTGATAACTTATGGGATGGTCCTTCTGGGGAACTTTAGCATGATTGGCATCATTGTGACAGATCCCCGGCTGAACACACCAATGTATTTCTTCCTGGGCAATCTTTCCGTCATTGACCTCTCCTATTCTACTGTTATTGTACCCAAAGCCATGGTTAACATTCTATCTCAGAAAAAAACCATATCCTTTGCGGGTTGTGTCACTCAACTGTTCCTTTATGCACTTTTCTTGGTAACAGAGGCCTTTGTTCTGGCAGCCATGGCCTACGATCGCTTCATTGCCATCTGCAACCCACTCCTGTACCCTGTTCGCATGTCAAGAAGCATCTGTATCCAGTTGGTGGCTGGTTCCTATCTCGTGGCTGGGTCAGTTCCATCCTTCAAATCAGTGTAACATTCTCCATGTCTTTCTGTGCCTCCCGAGTCATTGATCACTTCTACTGTGATTCAAACCCAATTGAAAAGATCTCCTGTTCCAACATCTTTATCAATAAGATGGTGTCATTTACTTTGGCCGTCCTCATTATTTTGCCCACAATAGTCATTATTGTAGTATCTTACATGTACATTGTATCCACAGTCTTAAAGATCCCCTCCAGTGAAGGCAGGAAGAAAGCCTTCTCCACTTGTAGCTCCCACCTGGGGGTTGTAAGTTTGCTCTATGGGACTGTCTCTTTTGTGTATCTCACTCCGCCAAGTAACCCTGAACTTCGCAAAGTGGCTTCAGTATGTTACATTTTGTTCACACCTATGCTGAATCCTTTAATCTACTCTTTGAGAAATAAGGATGTTAAAGACGCTATGAGAAAAGTCTTATGGAGGAAAACAGTTTTACTCTAAATCTTCTTTTATTTGTTTTACTGTTTTTTGCAGCCATTAATATTGTCTGCCTGGTCTTCTAGACTTAGACACTTCAAGTTCAAGTTTATTTTTAAAAAGCAAACAAACAAAACCTCCTTAACTCTTCTATTCCACAGCATGAATAATTTCCTATAAAGAATACAACAAACAAATTCCTTAACTTTTCTCAAGGCAAGGTTAAATTGGAAAGTTCTGGACATTCATGAATTTTTGCTGTTTCTACAAACAGTTATCTATTTGTTATTCTTATTCTGTCACTTCAGGTAATAATATGTTAGGTGAAAGGGGATGTTCAGAGTTTCATTGTTCCTATTCTCTGCAAGCCTAAGTAAAATTAGATACAGAAAATACTTCATACAACAATTAACATGGAAACTGTGTGTCCCAAATGGCTTATATGCAAATGATACTTGGTGTACATGCTAGTGCTGGGTTTTGTTTTTAATGACATACCAAAGATATGACAGCATGTGTATACGATGAAAAAGGAATAGAAAGGAAAAATAACCAGAGTGCTCTTTGTTGAATTAAAGGGGCCAAAAGAGAAATCTGACAAAATTGCTTTAATTTGGTTTAAATCATTTTATTTAGAGTTCTCTGAATGACAGAGTCATTCCTTCTCTGCTCTAATATAATATAATATAATGAATACATAATTTTAATGATATTTTCAGCTCATGGTCCCTATCTTCTGGATAACAGCAATTATTGGTTATAAATATGCAATAAGTAAAAGTTTCATATTGGAATGAAGTCAGCTTGAAAAATCTCTGTTAAAGACCTTACAATAACCTTCATGAATAGTTGGATTATATGTGTATAAGTATGTGGGTACACACCAGTGTGCTTGTGTATATGAGTATATGTATATTGTTTATCCATGCACTAGTTTGGTTGAGGTGCTTAAAAATGTGATTCTTCCTAAACATAGAATTTCTTTTGAGAGAAGGATAGTTAACAGACAACCCCACAGCTTTAGGGATCAAAAGAAGAAGGGTTCCAGAAAAAGTCATGCCACAGTTATCATTTTGCAAGTGATTTAAGTAATGCTTCAGATAAATAATTACAATCATTAAATCTAGACAATATGATAATAGACAAAAACTAAACCTAAGAAATAAAAATAAACTGCCAGCTTTGTCCATATACATGACATTGTGAAAATCTAAAATATGGATTCTTTTTTTTTTTTGAGTTGGAGTCTCACTGTCACCCAGCTTGGAGTGCAGTGACACGCTCATGGCCACCGCAACCTCGTGGGCTCAGGCAATCCTTCTGCCTCAGTCTTCCAAGTAGCTGGAACCACAGGTCTGCACCACCATGCCTGGCTAATTTTTTTATTAATTGTAGAGACAAGGACTCACCAAGTTGCCCAGGCTGGTCTCGAACCCCTGGGTTCAGGCAATCCTCTCACCTTGGCCTCCCAAAGTGCTGAGATTATAGGTGTGAGCCACCATGTCTGGCCTAAAATATGGATTTTTGATTAAGTATTTTTTTCTTTCTTTCTATTTTTAGATGCAAAGTTTCCTTTGATGAGTACACAATGGCATGTGTCTTTGCAGGTTAAATTTTATTAGAGGAAGGGAATTGAGGATAATTATTTTTATTAAGAGATAATGAAGAAAGCTATGAGACTTAATAAATCAAGGTTATATTCCTCTCCTTCTCCCAAACCTGTCATTCTGCCATTTTTTCTTGATGCTTAATCTCATAAAAATATCATTTGAGAGCAAAATAGGATTCCAACTCACTTGGGAAACTGATCTTTGGCATAGAATATTATTAATTTGAAAGATACTTTTCTTGTGTTTGTTTTACTATTTCCATTAAATGCTCATTAGCCTTAGATTCTAATTATTTGGTTTATCTACTTAAGTGTGGGTACTTAAAGGCTACTGGGAAAGAGAATAAAAAAATGGAAAAGAATATAACCCAGATTCATTTGTTTTAATTTTAAATATGATGGACTGCATTTCCTGTTCTATAGCCATAACAGATGACAGTATTCTAGCACATGACCTCATAAGTGGCATTGCTTAAACCACTCCAAATGTTCCAAGAAATCTGAAAAAGATTTATTTGAAAAAGTTTAAAACCCAAGACAGTCTTCTTTTGATGGTGTTAAACTCAGCTATTTTTTATTTTCTTTTAGTTGCCATGAAGATTTTCTTCAGTAAGTTTATTCTGAGTTCACATGCCTTGTATAAAAAGTAGTGCCTAATTTATGACTAACTTTCTTGTTACTTGTGCTACAGGATTCCATCAGAACAACCCAGTATCATAGCAACATTTTGCTGACCCCTATTGACTAAGTATTTTCTTTTTTAAATGAGGCATGGATTGCTTCTAAAACGTGGCTACATCCAAGAGAGACAGAAGATCACATTCTGTCTCTTACATACCATAAGCTGTTGTTTAGAGAGGACTTTAAAATTTTATACAAAAATTGACATGAAGAAAGCCTTTAATGTAGTGACATAATCTTGAGAGGATGAAGATTGTATTAGACTTTTCAAATACTTGCTTTATTTGTACTGTATTGTTTCATCTTCACTGGTTACAACTTTGTGCACATGCACATATTGATTATTCCATAACATTATGTGCTACATTTTGTCTTTAAATTTGGTGTATGAGAGGGGACTCCCCCCAAAAACCAGAATTATATTTTGGAGGGCAAGCCCTTTGTAGCACAGGCTTCCTCCACTAGGTAAACTGTTCGAGAAACTCATCCTCATCAGTGTACCAGCTAGCATTGTTGTGAGAGGTTGCGTTGAGCTTCAGTGAATTTTTGGGCAGAATTCTTTCAACACATTTTCCCATTGCATGATGGGTGATTTGCAAGTGTGCCTGCCCATACCACGCTGAATGTCCAACAGTTTTTGACCAATATCAGCATGACTCCCACGTCCCAACCTTCCTATTCACCCAGTCTTGCCCTGAGCTACTTTTTTTGTTTCTCTGGGTGAAAAAAAAAAGTCCTCAAAGGGAAACATTTTGCTGATGTGGAAGACATGAAACAAAAAATGGCAGAAGCGCTTAAAGGCATCAAAATTGACTAGTGCAAAAAATTGGTTTGAGCAGTGGAAAAAGTGCCTCGATACATGTATTACATCAAACGGAGACTACTTTGAAGGTGACTGAAGCTTAAACATGTAAGAATAGATACACATCAAAAAAAAAATTCCAGGTTTTTTTGGGTTCCTCTCATATTGCTGGTGTTTACCTAATATTTAGTGTATTGATGTAGAACTTTGGTGAAGGCATTTATAATAACATTTTCTATTACCAGGAGGCTATGATTCTCCTACTTAAATAGTTGCAAATGATAAGTAAGCACTAATTCAAACTTCACAAATATAAGTTAAAGTTACTAAATTAAACATTGTGCTCTAGCACCCAGAACTTGCTCCATCTGTGTCACCTTAAGATAGTTTCAATTCCTTATTATGGAATTTAAATTGTTGCTGTGATTGGAGTAGCTGAACTGATAAGGTATTATAAAAATGCTTCAATGTTGAACTGATATTGAACTATGTTATAATTACTCTTGTAAGTTGAGAATGGGATGTCACTTCTCCCAATTTCATGATACTTTACCAGTATAGACCATACAATCAATACAAATTCCAAGTGTGTGTAAACTGTTATCTTAGTGATCTCAGTGAGTACAAAACTACTATTGAGGGTTGGTGAAGGAGAGGTGGAAGAGGGAAGAGAGAGGTTAAACAAAACAGGGTATTCTGGAACTGAAAACCACATGAAAAGAATGGAATTCACTGTAAAGTCTTTTCCTACATACTCCAATTTTGTAAAAAAAAAAAAAAAAGACAAAACAACAGCAAAGCAAAATAAAAAACTTTAACAAAACAAAGACTGATTTCCATATTTCTTACTTTTACAGGACATGGCTTGTAGGTTTTTGAAATAGTTTCTCCTCTGTCAACATTTTTAAAGAATCATTTGTTCACAGCTTGCGGCACTCTGGTAGTCTGCACTTGCTCCCTCAATTGGATGTCTTGTAATTAAGTTTCTTCTGTGACAATCTAATTTTGGATTTAAGCAAATATTTAGGCATATACATTTTCTTTTATGCTGGCTGCACAGACACAATGGTAAAGCTGGAGAAAATGAGTTTTCTACTGAATATTCTAGGCAGCCAGAATATAGAAAACTGAAAAAAATTCCAACAGAATCCAAACTTGTCAAATGCTACACAATTGGAAATATTTACTTCAATACATTTCAGGCTCTTTTCCTTCTGCTGGAAATTTGAATTTCAGTGAGTGAGAATTTTATGTTACAGCTTTGAGCATGTGTCCACTCATTTTCTTGGGGGAGGACAAGGCTCCTAGTTGAAGCTCCATTAACCTATACACAATTGTAAAGAGCTAATTCCTCTGAGAAAATCAGGGTGCTTTTTATAAGGGAAACTTGCTGGTGAACAAACCAAATCAACATTTTTTTTTTGGTCAACAATCCATCTATTTTACTGTCCACATTCAACATGCCTTTTTTTTTTTTCATATTTACAATTCTCAAACTTGTAACAACTAACACAATGCAGAAAGTTCAGGTCTATACAACACTATTGTCATTTCATCTTCTAAGAAACAAGATCCAAAACATTATTCATTGCTATATTCAGCTCCCAGTCTAAGATCCATTCCTCTATTAATTAATTCAGTATCCTGTTTAAATATTCTGTACACTGATGGTAAGTCTATTATCACTATTATAAATATAATTAATAAAATATGTAAATAAGCACATATTTACATGCAAATGAGATAGCATAAGACAATTTAATTAAATGTGTACATTTTATTAAAATATGTAACAAAGAAGTAAATTTGAATCATCCTACAGTCCTTATTTGTGGATGGCCATGGGATCATAGTGCTGATCTTACATTTCTTCTCTTCTGTATTTCATGGTCCCTTGCCTTTGATCTTAGCCGCTCAGATTCCTATGTCTAG